AATCTTATCAATAAATTACGCATTTCCATCGACTGCCTTATATAAGATTCTTATAAGATTTCTATAGAATTGCCGTAAGATCGGTCGACTAGGGAATAACGTTTCCAATCGAGATTTTTGGTGGGTACACGATAATTCTTTAGAATATGAACCGAATGTGATGAAACTTTCTACGTACAATTATCTCAACGATATCTCGATCGGGTTCGAAGATGAGAATGATCGATCAAGGAAGGTGAAAGAATTTCTAATTTAATTAGTTTAATATGGTTTTGGAATTTGTTCTTTAATCTAATAACTTTGTGAATTTCACAATGCACGTTTTTCAAATCCTTTATAAATTCATTTAAATTTATTCTAAAATATACATTTTTTATCACCAAGAATAACTGAGGAGGAAAAGAGGGTGTAGAAGGAAACGAAAAGTTTTCTCCGCTGATTTGCTGTGACCAGTTTAGTTTATCAAATAAATAGGAAGAGATAACATTTTTAACATTAATGAAATGATCATTTTCATTTTTTTGACATTTAAGAGTATATTACTGCACAAAGTTGTATAAGTTTCAGAAGGGAAGACAGAACAAAAATTAATCCCTTTCTTTTATTTCTGCGCAATAAGTTACCGCTGGATATTTTCTGAAGAACTGATCGCAACGCTCTCGGCCATCATGACATTTTTTAAAAAGAAATTAGAAAGAAAACATATATTCATAGTGAAAGAAAGACGTTAGTTTCAACGCAAAACCAGTTGTTCCTTTCTATCTCGAAGTAGACTTTGCACTCGAAAACGGACACCAAATCCCGAATGTTCATATTAGCCAGTGGGTAGGGTTGGGCGGGTGTAGAAACCGTTAGACTGTTAGACTTTTGCCTTATGTTCTCTAGGCATGACTTCTTATCGCCTTTTACTACATGGTTCGACTTTTGGTCCTTATAATCAGAATATTTGCAATCTTCGAATGTTGTTGATCATTATCTTGATCAAACATTAAATCGATTTAGATATATAGATTAATTAAATAAAATATGGATGCTGCTTTCGTGAAACGATTAGTATTATCTTGACCAATTCTCGTTCATTTTTAAACAATCGGTATCTAAATCTTTTGCTTCAGCTTATTCACTGTTTGTTGACTCTGTTAAATTCATTCGATTTAATATTTCTTCATAACATTGTTGTTGATGTTTCATCATTAAATCCCAATTGAACGTTGTTTTTATTTCTTTAATTTTAGGTGATTTTTCCTTCCTTTTTAGTGAATTATTCATTTCTTGTGCAACGGCTTGATGTTTGTTTCTTTTATTTGCTGCTGGTACAAAAATAAAATCATGTTGTTTAGTCCCACCCATAAAAATTGGTATATCATACTCATCAATTGTCGATATTAATTCTTCATTCGGATGAATCAATAATTGAATTTTTTGTACTAATGGTTTAGACATAAATGGTTTTAGTGTTGTATAAAGAGATTTTAAAAATTGATTAACTGGTCCAACTCTTAAATATTCTAAACGATCGGGATAACTAATTGTTAATAATTGTAATAAACGTTTCATAAAGCCAATATTGATTGAACGTAAACTTAGTTGACTATCGGAAATAATTACAAATTGATCAATACCCGGTGGTAAAAAGTTTTGAATACAAGTTTCAATCATGAATATATGCATTGATATTTCAAGATCAACATCGAATTTAGACCAATCTTTTAAATTAGATCGAACATACAATATTGGATGATTTAATTTATCATAACCATACCAGTATAATGAAGCGAATGATAAGGGTTTTGTTATTTGTTCCAATGTTATTTTATCAACTTTAAATTCATGTTTCCATTTAAACATGTTAATTAGTTTTTCTCGAGCATATTCAAATGAACGATTTTGCATTACTCGATTAATATAAGAATCTGTTAATAAACTTATTTCTTTTGAATAATCAGCTTCTTGTAATGATGATTTCATATGATCTAAATAAAAACAATAAATAAATAGTGACGCTTTATTTGAAACAAATAAAATTCAAATATCTGTAGTAAAAACATTGATAAATCATCTTCAATCATACCAAAAAGTTAGTCGATAAAGAGAAATTTAATCAGTCACAAGCTCTATAATTCTAGTTGTGTCAGATACTGGATTTATTCAAGCTTTAAACATGAATCCATCAAGAAAAGTCAAAATATTTCAAAAAAATATATTATTTTATTACGATCTCATTCGATTCTTCATAAAAAATTTTTTCTAGACTTCAGAATCCGGAGTCAAACTTTTAGAACTTTCTCCCGCTTATTAGATTGAAGAGCTTCATTTTAAGAAGAATGAAGAGATTTCATGTTAAGTACGAAATATTCAGATATAGAGAGAGAAAGTACATGTAAACGAACATATGTTTGACCTTGAACCAAAACGGCGAAATAGAATAGAAATATTCATTCATTCAAGTACAGAAAGAGAGAGATAATGACAACACGAAAAGAAAGAGATTGCTTTATTATTTATTCGCTCAGCGATTTCTCTTGTAATTCCTATAGTCTATACAAATTTTAGATCTCTCCTTTTCTTCCTTTTGTTATCTGTTGAAATAATCTCCTTTTACTTGTTCAAAGTTTCACTCTTTTCTTCCTCTCTTTCTTCTCGTCTTCTGGTATTTTTTTTCTAATTGTTTTTCCATCTTTCCACATTCATCAGAATTGTTTCTTACGC